ACGTAACAGTTTTGGAATCGACGCCAACTGTCGCACAAGGGCGTCTGTTCAGGAGGCGCACCAGCTTCCTAATTAATGCAGCAATCGAATCACCAGCTTGAGCGCGCAGGTTAGCATGCCACAGGAAACACGTGGCTTTTTGCGCAACGAGAGCGTCAGAAGGACAGAGTTTTTGGAAGCGGGCTTTGGTGCAATTAATTAATTTGCGGAGGAGGAGATGCGAAGGGCTAGTTTCCGCTGCATCGATGCCAGGTAAGTCAGTAGTTGCTGGTGGCACAGAAAAGGCCGCAGCAGGAACTGTTCGAACAGGTATCGCCGCAACATCCTTATCAAGCTTGTGTTTCGGCCGAAACCGAATTTTCACCAAATGATGTCCTCCAGTTGCTTTTTTGTGCTTCCAAGAAACTGAACAGATCCGGGAGGACACATACAGTGAACTGGAGATAAGGTAATGGTCAAGATGGCTGAGGGTAGAGCCTTGCTCAAAGGTTGGATTGTCAGACTTGCATTCAATCAGATCACCCTGAGCAAGGAGGTGGGCATACTCGCCTTCCTTCTGCTGATTAACAGCGTTGAAGTCACCCCCAAGGACAACCACATGAGTTGCATCTTTAACAAAGGCAGTGAGTGCAGGGAAAAGTTTCCCCCATTGATCAGGGTGCCAATATACCGACAGAAGCCAATAGCATACCGACCTAAATCTGACCAGCACGGCAAGGGCAAAACCAGGCACAAGGTCAATAGTTTCTACAACTTTATAGTTCTGCGGTAAACAAATTGCAACTCCTCCAGAGTGCCCAGATTCCTTCCATACAGCAAGGGAGGCAACTGTATTTATTCTGGATGTTGCCTGTCTGAACCTTTGTAAGCAGGCAGCGTTCCATTTAGTTTCCTGTAAGAGCACAGGCGTTTGGTGAGCCAAAGCACCAATTGTGTGGAGCTTGGCAAGGCCAATAGTGTCAAAGGTACACAGCGAAGTGACATTCCAACTAATAACAGCCTGCAGTTTGCACGGCTCTTTTGGGATCGAATCGAAATAAGGAACGAGCTTGTCAGCAATGAGGTTCAAAGCAAGCTCGAGCTCTTCAGTTGGGAGTTGAAGATTGACAGCAGCGACTAAGTCGAAAGGTCGGTTATCTGTGGCCATAAGAGCTAATTTCAGCTCACGGGTGGTGAGATAGGTGAGTGGCAAGTTATAGGCGAGGAGGATGCTGTTGAGGGATCTGACACGTGCGCGTTGTCTACGACAGGCAACATAAGCATTAAGGTGCTCAAGGAAGATCACAGACCTTGCCTTGATCACCACTTCACGGATCGACGTCATAGGGGCAATGGGTCCCTATGGACCCCATAGAAACAAAAGTACGCCGCAGGTTGCCGATCGTAGACATAAATGCGCAGTGCCTTCTCTTGTGTGGGGAGTGTAGGGGGAATGTTGTTGTGGGTGACGGTCTGTTGATGCACCGTACCTTGCTTATAAGTGGTGTAGTGAACACCTCGTGCATCGATGCCAATGTGCACAGCCTGTCTACACGGTAGAGCTAGCTTGGCAAAGCAGGAAAAGTCACGAAGGACCTCGCTTAGCCAAGCTTCTTTCGAGCTGCAGTCCGAAGCTAAAGCTTGACTGACATGATTCTCAGCAAAGTACGGGATTAGGAAGAGTGCAAAGAGCTCCCTTTGCCCAAGATGAGGGGAGCAGAGGATTGTGTGGCCATACAGGTGTAATGCAGCCTCTGTTCCCTCGAAAATCAGGCACGGTGTAGGGAGCTGACTGTTTTCCTCAATTACTTTGTAGAGAAAGGTGCCAGGGCTGGCTCCTTTACGTTCGGTATCAACGACCTCGATAGCCGATACATGCGTAAGTGCGTGTATCGTATCTCGAGCTTGTGATGCATTAAGCATTGCGACAACACACTGGTCATCTTGTTCGACGTAAAGAGAGAGATCGACTGGCGGAGACTTCACACTCGTGGAATTCCGCACCAGCCCCGTATTTTGGATCGTGGCGTCAGCTTCATAGAACGGGTTGAGCGCGCAAGCAGGAGAAGTGCCTCCGCTGTCTGCAGCGCAAGCCAAGAAATTCAGAGCAGGGTCCGTATTGATGAGACAAGTGTGCGTCGACCTAGCCTCCGTTGTTGCACTGGATGCTCATGTTTGTGGACCGAAGGTGCAGTTGTGTTTTGACTGGAACCAGTTTCCGTGTACCGTTGTCAAGGCCTGAGGATGGGTAATTTGACCACTTCCAAAGACAGGAAATCACAGAGGACTAAGTCTGTTGGTATTGAAGGCAGTGGCAGGCAGAAAAGGCGATTGGGTTGAACAGAAACTCTGGTCCGCCTGGTCCGTTACCTGCCTGAACTGGCTCGAGAAGTCGGCTACGGCCGTTGCACATCAGCTGCACCGTGCAGAGTTACATAAGTTCGATGCGTCTTTTCCATGCAATAAACTTAATGTTATTGGTTGACTCAAACCTGGCTTAGTCATCAACAAGCCTGTTGTTTTGAAGTATACTCCTGGCCAAGGTAAATTCCAAGGAATTAGAGAAAGCGCTTTGGGCATTCCTAAAGGAATTTCCTTTGTGACAGAAATTCGATTCCACAAAGCTCAAGACTTGCTGCAAGAAAGAGGAATCCCATCGGCCATACAGCTCGAGACGCACAGTCATGGCGAGTTTTTGCAGAGAGTCTGTTGCTCGTCGGTGCCAAGTTCGTCTTGCATTTCCTTGACTTTCCTGCACAAGGGCAATGCATGATCAGTTTTCTCAAAGCGTTGCACCTTGAGTTCATGGCCTTTAGAAAGGAGTTCATTCCTCAATTTCTCCTTGCAAAGGGACAGCAAGACACCCTTTATGTGCAACACTGGAAAGAGGGCCAGCGAGTGCTCGATACTGCGGCATCGGATCCGCAGTCCAACGGCCCTAATTATCGGACTTCCGCGGTTCCATGGCCCCCAAGCATCATCATGCTCCTCGAACTCTGGGCCGGACTTCACGACAGTGAACGCACGACGACGTTTGGCTTCTGGGCGCATTTCTTGCAAAGTCTGAGCCATCCGCAACTGCCATCTCTATGCATCGCTTGCAGAAGAAGGGGTCTCGACGTCGGTGGCAGAGCACACGGGCGTTTCTGAGGGCGGACGGTCCTCTGGGCAGAACTGACAGTGCCTCCAACCAGAGTGCTTTAGCCTCAGCTGAATTACGAGAGGTGACTCCATGCAAACAGCCGGGCAGTCGCCAATCTCTCATTTACAGAAAAGGGCCTCTTCTGCTTGGCGCGCCACTGGAGCCGGAGCAGACTCCGAGAATCTAGCTTGCGGCGGCTCCGCACACGCTCGGGCGTCTGAGATGTCCGACAAAGTAGGATCCCGCATCGGCGCTTTCTCAGTCCACTGGGATCTTCATGGCTGAGGTTTGAATCCAATAGCACCTGCTGCGTCCCAGTATCTCATTGAGAGAATTGCGCAACTCTTGCGGAATGAGCTCTTGCAGGTGCAGGTTTCTCTGAATCCATGTTGAGTGGCGGCAGTGGGTCCACAAATTCAGAGAATGAAGACGCTACGGTAAGCTGCTGCGTCCAACTTGGCCGCGACATCAGCTAACTCTTCAGGGTCCATGGCACAGCTCTATTGCTGCGCCTCAGCAACACAATGCTCCTGGTCGGAAAATCTCCGGTTCTAGCAGTGGTCGAGGAGGGTCAGTACTTGTTGGGTGCATCTTTTGAAGCGTAATCATTGTGGGTCTTAACTTCGGAAACTCTCGTGTCTTATTGCCTATCTTTACATCAAACTTAATACAGTTGTTACCGTTCCTACTTACTATTTACTTAACACTTCGATATATATCTATTTATTCCTTGTACAAGTCTCTTAACTCTGCGAGGAACTCTTTTGTTAATTCCTTGTCGCTTCACTTAACTTACGCACGTCGCCAGCCGGGCCGCCCAGGGGAGGGTGAGGGGGGGGGGGGGGGGGGGGGGGGGGGGGGGGGGGGTGGGGGGGAGGGGTGGGGGAGGGGGGAGGGGGTGGGGGGGGGTTTTGAGGCACCCCCTGTGGGACCGACAGGGACCCTCCACGGCACCGGGTTGCAGCTCCTCCAAGCGATTGGGGGGGGTCCCACAGGGGGGGGGGGGGTGGCGTGGTTAGGGGGAAGGAGGGCCGATCCGGGTCTGCTTGTTCCAGACGCTTCTCGGCAGGAAGCCGAGGCGAATTTAATGCTTTGTCTCTTTTGTTGGTAGTTACGAACATTTTAGAAGTGCCTTTGGCATTGTGTTTCTTTCGTTGGCTTTGTCAAGTTTTTTTTAGTTGTACGACACCGATCTTACTACTCGGGCTGGTGACACCAACTCACCTGCCGTCGTCGTCGTCGTCGTCGTCGTCGTCGTAGTAGTAGTAGTAGTAGTAGCAGTAGCAGTAGCAGTAGCAGTAGCAGTAGCAGTAGCAGTAGCAGTAGCAGTAGCAGTAGCAGTGGCAGTGGCAGTGGCAGTGGCAGTGGCAGTGGCAGTGGCAGTGGCAGTGGCAGTGGCAGTGGCAGTGGCAGTGGCAGTGGCAGTAGCAGTAGCAGTAGCAGTGGCAGTGGCAGTAGCCGTAGCAGTAGCAGTAGCAGTAGCAGTAGCAGTAGCAGTAGCAGTAGCAGTAGCAGCAGCAGCATGAGGCGGGAGGAGGAGTCGTAGTTGTAGTTGTAATGGTAGTTGTAACTGTAGCTTCAGCTGTAGCTGGAGCTTTAGCGCTGTAGTTGTAGTTGGAGGTGAAGTTGTAGCTGTAGTTGTAGTTGTCGTTCTAGTTGTACTTGTGCTTGTAGTGGTTGTTGCCCATCGGCCATTGTCGGACCAGTTGAAATTTGATTCAGCTTGCTACAAGGAATTGCTGTCGCTCCTGGCCCAAGTCTGGTTGTGAATGCGCCAGAATTTTCACGAGTAGTTTGTTGCTTATACATTTCATCCTTCCCTGCGGACTTCTTATGGAATCACGAAGGAGAGACTGACACTGTCGTCACAGTGCCGTTCATGCGTGGGTGCTGTCAAATTCCTGACCTGACCAGGACGATTGCTACTTGCACGTGCTCATAGTGCGCCCGTGATCGGGTTCTGCAGTTCAAGAATGCAGATGCGCATTATCATTGCGGCTTGCTTTATGTTGTTTGAAAGATTGTACTATGTTGGAGGTCAGGCATCTGTTGCTTGTGTGTGTATGTGTGCAGTGTGTGTGTGTGTGTGTGTGTGTGTGTGTGTGTGCAGTTTGTCGGTTTTCATGGATGCCGAGGCCAGCATTGTGTGCCTGCTCAGCGCTGGGTTGGAGTTGCATCAGGACATGCAGTTCAGAAAGGGGGCAATTGAAAAATGCATTCTCGAACGCAGGCTGCAGCACATGCAACGGCAATGTTTTATGCACGCCCCCGAGTTCAACCACCCCACGCGGTTCCTTTTTTCCAAATTTCCAGCTCTTTCGCGCCTGGCTTCATTCCATGAGTTCTCTTGAAGGAATCTCTGCGGCTGGATGCTTCATCGGCTGTGCCTCTTCACCTCAACGGAGAGTACTACGGACCGCTTCAGGCGCACGATTGTTTCGGTTATCCTTCTTTCAGGATCTCGAGATGGGAAATCAGAGTTCAGAGATGCAATTGGTCGGCATGGTTTTGCATTTCATTCTGGATCAGGGCTAGAAAGCAGGCCAGGCATGGCGAGGCAGCTTGGTTTTCGACTGAAGCACCCGAGAGCGTTTATCCACCCTGGGAGGTGAGTCGCAGTGGATTTCTCTACAAACAGGCACCCCAACGGAACATGCCATTCATGAGGGTTTTGAAAAGGCCAGAAAAGGACACCATGGCTGTGCAGCAGATGCTTTCATCGTTGCTAGCATTTGTTTGTTCACGCCTTGGCGGTGGTATTCATGGATGTGGCATGTGTTGGGCTTTCAGGGATAGACCGCACCGCGCATGTGGACGAAACATGCCAGGTTGGTGCGGGCTCAAGCTGCACAGATTCTGCCGGAGCTCAGTACAGCAGGCGTGGGAGGTTGAAGTCAGTTTGATACCTCTGCCCAGCCGTTTGCCTTCGCGAGGCTGAAGTCTGTTTATGCTCTTGGACTTGGCTGCTCGGCCGGGAGATGGCGAGTGTTGAGCGAGGATTGATCAAGAAAGGCACTTAGACAGCAGGACTGCTAAATGACAGGATGTTGGGTATAGGGGAGTTTTCCTTAAGCTTCACAAGCACCCTTTGTGGTGGAAACTCATGGCAGACCATCTGTGCTTGCTGATGCCCTTGCTTGCTTCTTTTCTGGCCTAAGGTGAATGCATGGACTCGTGCAATGCCTTTGCACCTAGCTTGTGCCATGGAGTGGGCTTCAAGGCCAGGCTGCACCACGTTGCGCCATGCCACAGGTGTTGTCACGATGGAACCGTCTTCCAACCCGAACCCGAGTCCCTTGAAACGATGGGGGAGCTTTTGTTCGGTACTGACAATGCTCTCTGCGGCTTGGAGCTGCCTTCCTGACAGAACCAGGACTCTGTGCACTGCTTGCTCTTCCTCGAGGTGCCACGCTGGGCATGTCTTGTGCGTGGAGATTCTTACACGCTTACGTTTCTGATCTTTCCTCGCACTAGTTCGTTTCACAGGCAAGGCAGGTGCAAAATCCGTGGCCGCTTGTCAATTGGGACACCTTGTTCGGGGCAGTGGTCAACACTCGTGAATTTTGCTACCCTTGAAAAGGCTGGCGCCAGTGGCAGCGATGCTCCAGGACTGAACCGACAGGCTGGGAAACGATGTCCAGGAACATGTGGGGTCCACGTGGAATGGCCAGTGATGGTTAGTGTCCTGTCATTGGTCGTTTTTTCCATGTCATTCCACAATCCGATGCAAGTTTGGATGCTAGGCCTGGACGCTCACGAACAGCTCAGGGACTGGAGCTGTGGTCGCGTCGCAAATGGGCCTGGATGGGCGAGGTGGCATGTTTGATACTTGTGTGACAATTCGTGCGGTGACCAATTTCTTGAAGACATCAAGCACCTTTTCATGGTAAACAGTTCGTCACCTTCTCTAATTAAGCGACGGGAGGGAGAGGCAGCAAAGACTGTAAGGCGCAGAGAGAAGGGACGAAGGGGGGGGAAGCAGGCAGTAGGGGAAGTAAGGATCCATCAATGTTAGTGATCATCAACCAGCATCTTTGCCATCGCTGCTGAGATGTGCTCATTGGAAGGAAGGTGCCGACTGGATGTTCGTAATGCTGAACCGGAAGCCGAAACTTTCGGCCATCCATCACGTGCATAGAATCCGTTCATCGCAAGGCGCTGGTAGCACAGCTTCTTGTTCATGTATGTATGAATGAAAGCGAATACAGGAATCCTTTACTGAGAGTAAGCGGAAGTACCATATGTTATTGTGACACTTCTCACGGCCTTTCTGTGCTCATCTTCCGATTTGTATAGCAAGGCATGTATGTTTTGAGAGTGGCGGCCATATTTTTCATCTGAGCTCCAGGCGGTGCCTGCTACCGGCGTCAGCTGGATGCAGCTTGCTATCCGCCTGGGCGTGTCCGGAAGATTGTCTGGGAAGGCTGTGCCCTGGTTTGGATGGCCAGTGCTATGGCGAGTCTGCATGCAACGCACTTGTCTCATTGTGACATGGCCGTCGTTGTGACAACGTGTTTCGCCGGGGCTAACATTCTAGCATCTGGACTGGCGTCGGCACAATGGGGTTGGGCTTGGGCTCAGGCCTGGGGTGTGCTGAGTTGTAGTTAACGAGAGGCGCACGATGTAGGCCAATGTAGGCATCATCATGGCACCCAAGGCCGCTGTCTGACTCACTGGGCTTTGGAACTGGACGATGGCTCTTCCGAGTCCGCGTCGCAAGTGGTCCCAGGCACGCATAGGGCTTCCTGCGGAGGTGACACGAACTGTGTGCTCAGTTCTTTTTGTTGTCCGGTTCCTGCAGACACATCCGGGTCGTTTTCTACGCGGAAGTTGGTTCGGCATCCCCACACGAACTCCCCTCACAGATTCTGCTCATGGTGATTCCGTTCCAAGACATCTCAAATACAGACGCGGTGGTGATGTGACCCTTTGCAACCAAAATTCCCGGTAATCCGCGGAGTTTTCTTCAAGAGGCGCTTTTATTGCAAACGCCTCTGAGCGCCAAGAGATGCATAGTCTCAAGTGCAAACATTCCACGCTGCTCCGCTCGTTTGGGAAGGGCTGCTTGAGGATTTTGGGTTCTTTTGGGGGGTTCTTGGCATTTGGAGGTTTTCGGGAATCAGAGGTTTGACCTTGGTGTTTGGGCGTCTTGGGGGTCTTGGGGTCTTGGGGTCTTGGGGGTCTTGGGGCTTTGGGGGTTTAGAGATTTTGGGGGGTTTAGGGTTCACACGGTTCGGAGTTTCGGGTTCAGGGCCTGCACCCGTGCGCCAATCCCGCCCACACTCGCACATTCGCCACATGCCTTTCAGATATTCAAGGGGCTGCTTATGAACTCTTGTCTTCATCTTCACATCTCTCGCTGACTTTAAGCTGTGAGCTTTTCATTCATGTGGCAAAGAGGCCGCAACTGGAGGAACTGTGCCGGGGAAGCGCACCTGGATGGAGACGAGTACATCCTCGGGATGACACAGCACCTGGACACGGTTAGTGCATGGGGGCCTGCTTGTGAGCAAGGCGCATGTCCCAGGAGCCGTTGTAGTTGTATGACAATCGACTCAAGGTATGGTGGCGGATACTGCAACTTCTATGGTGGCTGGGGTCGCAGCTTTGATTTCTTCACCAACAAACGCACTGTGGCGTCCTCAGACTGGTTCCCAAGTCCGACCAACAGCTGACAGGGCCTACAGACCTTTATAGCGGATTTGCTGATCGTGGTCTTGAGTTGAAGCGAGCCCCATGACAGGCTGCTGAGGATGGCCGTGTCTCGAGAGTGAGAGTGAGCTGTGCTCTGTGCTCAGGTGAACGTCAAGGCCCCAGGAAAGCCACAGCTCGACGTCGCGTCGGAGATCGCCAGACGGGCTGTGACGGTCAGCCGAACGAAGCTTGGTGTCACATTTACTCTTACCAGTGAAAAAAAACACCCCCTTTTGGTGGTTGTATGCGATACCCTTGCATCGTTGCCGCCTCTGACTGGAGCGAGCGTTCAGTGCTGAAACGACGAGGAAAGAAGGTGGCAAGTTCTTCCTCTTCCACAAAGCGGCATGGATCAGCATCTTCGGGGTGCCTCCTGGCTCTGCTCCAGCCCCGACCTTGGAGTACGAACGCTCTCGTCAGGTCAGAGGATCTGCCCCCACAGCTTCATGACAAGAAGTCAACTGTCGACAGTATAGTCACCACCAAAGCCTATTCATGCAGATGACCATGGCACTTTCAATAACAGAAGAGAATTGGTTGGGCAGATACGGCTTAGAAGCCAATGGAAAGTAGCAGTTCTCGAGACAGGCGCCACTGGGCACCAAATCGTGGGTGTGTGTGTGGTATAGAAGCAGAACATGTACTCAGGCAGGTCCCAGACTGTGGATTTTCCCCAGAAAAGGTCTGAGAAGGGGCCCCACAAGGTCCCATGCAGGTCTCAGCCTGGATCCCTCCGAAAGTTCAAAGTTCCAACTCGACATCCCATTGCGGCTCCCTGAAGCGAATTTGGCAGCTCCCACAGGGGAGGGGGGGAGAGTGAATGGGAGCAGAGTTCGAAGGAGAGATAAGGGGCAGACGCTTCTCGGCTTTGGCCGTGGCGCAGGATCAGTTGTCGGGACCGCTGTGGAATTTATAGGGCCCTGAAATTAGAGAGTTGTGCGGTATAGTCAACACAACAGTCAGCACTATTGGTAGCATCAGGGGCGCCGTCACCTAGTTTTATCCCCATGTCTGCGAGCGTCCTGAGACTCATCCGTGTTCCTTGGTGTGAAGTATGCTGCCATGCGCCTCGGAGGTCAAGACTCGCGTAACGCAGCTGCGTCGGAATGAGCTGATCTGGCAGGGCGAGGCAGGGTTAGCTGAAGCCGAAGCAGGACAAGCGGACGAAAAGGCTTGATGACCGGATGTCAACTTCAACCAACAACGGTTTGAGGGGTCCCTGTTAAACAAAGCAAATGCAAAAAGAAACCGTCTCGCCCGTGCCCTTGTGGAATACGAAGTGGTAAAAAGGGGCGGGGGCGTCTTTGTGGATGCTTTCGGCCGTACCCAAACCCTTAAAAGGAGTGGGCCAAAGCTTGAGAAGTGTTAGTGGTTTAAGTCCAAGAGTGGGATCTGGAAGCCGCGGGAGCCTCCGAGAGGAGTTGCAAGGCCCAGGAGAAGAGGTTTATCTTCTCATGCATATGCAGACTGTGACGCGAAGATGATTTTTGCACTCGATTGTGGCGCGAGCCCTAAACCCTAATCTCGAATGCGGCCAACGTACAAAGGAAGTGGGCTTCAGTCAGGCTTGCAAAAATTTGTAGGACAGCGGATGTGAACCTTGAACTCGGAACAGGTCAGTCACGTGATGGGTAAGAGAGTTCCGCGGGTGAAACCAAAAAGTCGTGTAGTCTCACTCTACGCGACGCGGATGAGCTTCTGCTAAGCGGTCCCGCTTGTGTTTTCACAATGGTAGATCGCGTCAGACAATTTTTCAAGTCGCAGCTGCCGAAGACTGAGTTTCAATCCCACAGCGCCTCGTTCATGTTGACTGTCAGGGTTTAGAAGGTGCATGTGATGTTCACGTGTTGACAGAAACCTTGAGTTGCGGCAAGAGCCGGTTTCAACCGTTCTCCAGATTCCAAAGCTTTTTGGAGGTGGTGGTTTGGAGCAATGTCAACGGTCCACATGGACGACGATCGCATGAAGGTGCGGGATGAGTGTGTGGGCATGAGTGCTTTCCATGCTTTCCGACACGAGGTTTCGGCACTCTTTGGTTTCGTGAAAGGTGTGATGGGTGTTAGGTTGGTTGGGATTCCTCGAGCTCGACTAGATGTAGCAGCTGGACTTTTGGACGAGATGCATCGCCCAGGCATGCGACAATTATCATAAACCTTATGTAGCTCGGGGACGCGCGCTTGTAGAGGCCAAAGGCTGCCTGGTATATGCCCAGCATCAGAGGATTCGTCTCAGGATCCTTTTTTTGAAGCACCCATCTCCCATCCAAGGTGAGTCTGGTCAGTGGCAGTCGGGTGATCTTCTGGCCCCTTGGATTCAGACTTCCATGTTCAAGCATCTACCGTCTACCCGCAGTGTTCGAACACATTGCGGAGTTCTTACGTTGATGGTACTGGATACCGTGACCACGTGCAGCAAGCGGTCCGGCGCGCGCCTGGCGCACGACGAACATAGCGACTCAGAGGTGCCTGCAGCCGGCCCTGACGCTGGAGCGATCGACTTTCTGCTGGCCCGCATGCCTTCAACAGCAACGAGGTGTGGGAATAAGCCTGTCTGGTCTGCAACAGCAGGTGTTTGAGTTGCGTAGCACATAGGTCGAGGGAGGTAGCAAAGCAAAGGTTGTCAGAGTGATCTCCTAGAGTTCTCGTCCCCCGCCGGCCGGGATGAGGAAAGGTGAGGCAAAGCATCAACGCACATCAACGCATATCAACGCATATCAACGCTTTTCCACACCGTGCTTGTAGATTCCCCAAGCCCTCCCGCGGGGCAACACCCAAACCCTCAGAGAGTATAGCTTTGACTTGGAGCTCGATACCTGGAGCCCGCACCATCCTGCACCCACATCGTCGTGATTCTTGGGCCAGGAAGAGCGAGTTCGTGTTCCGAATCGCCAAAATGGAGACGTCAGCCTTGCGCATCAAGGCGGGATGCTCAAACCTGTCTCAAGCTACAGAGATCCTTGTGAAGCTTCCGTGATGGTGCTCGATTTTGTCAGGAGATTTCCCTCTTCCATGCTACTGGCACACGTGCCGCAGCACTGGGTGGCGATGTGGTTATGTACAACAGCCGGTGGCTCGAATGGATTGGAGGAATATGCGGTCTGGGTAGCTGGGAGCCGTGTTTGCGGTTCTTTGCTTTGGCGTTTCGTACCCGCGTAAGAACTATAGTATCGCGTTGCAGGCCAGGGATTATTCAGGGTCTAGTGACAACTCCCATCCTGGACCAGTCACATACACGTCATACGCTCATGTGAACTTGGCCAAGGAATGTGTATGGATTGAACGAGGCCAGAGTCTGTGAACTCCGCCACAAAGACGTGACACATGGAAGCGTGTACTTGTGAGAACCATCCTTCACCCTGCTATCTCTCAATTTACCCCTCGCCCGTCAGGGATTCACGTACACTGCAGATGGCTACATCGAGTATGAAGATGCCGATGTGGCTGGCCCTGGCTGTACCAGCAACTCGTCTGGAGCCGCATCTTTCCGGGTTGTTGATGGCACGCTGACTCGCTGCTTGCTGTATCACACAGGGAGCAGCTGGTGTGCTTGACTCTACAGTCTTGGTGTCAATCATGGTACTTCAACAGCATGATCCTCGTCACGTGCAGTGCCAAGCGATGTGCTCGATGTGCAAGTCCTTCGGCTCCTGTTCTGGCCAAGGTGGTGGAAAACTCCGGTATGGTGGCCTGCACGATGGCCAGATGCCAAGAAATTCAACTCTACCGCCTTAGCAGCTGTTTTCCTTGGAGCCTTTTTAGAGTCTAAAGGTGCGTAAGAGCAGTGCAAGAGCAGTGTAAGAGCAGTGCAAGCCACCCAGAGACTCGTCGAGGCGATGAAACGAAATCTGATTGCAACTACCAGAAGATGGCGACAAGCATAGGTGGGAGATTCACGCCCATGTGTCAGCCTCAGTAGCAAGATTCATCAGAGGTTTCGGCCCAGATAATGTTCGGCGATGCGCGGTTTCGAATCAGTGCACTGTCTCACAGCGCACTGTGATCTAGAGTAGCTAGTTGAAGTTCCAAACTCGAGAACGAGGCATCCGCACTTCATCCACCCAACCCCCGAATGCGCCACTCTCCCAACGTAGGCTGAGCAGATTCCGTGAAATCCCCTGGGCGCAGGTGCCGACGTTCTCAGCATCCAAACGTCAAGCCGGGTCCGCTACGTGCGCCTGTGCATGGCGCAAGATGCCCCTTCGGCAAGAAACTAGGTGTCTGCCAAGGGTTCTCTGCCAGTGCTTGCTAGCAACGCTGACGTCTTCGTGCTCGAACGGTTTCCGCAATCGAGCCCTGTTTACAGATTCATCATTTTTCGTGCTTGGTAGATATTCGGCTAGAAATTTTGTCGAGCGAGGCCTGGGCCGAGTTTGACATCCTGAAGGAGCGGGCGGGTGCGCACAGTGTTGCGCTCCGATTTGCGCTCCCTTGCACTCCGTTTGTGCATGTTTAGGTGGTTGCGAGAGAAAAGGGGTGTTTTCTTCCAGATAGGGCGGCTGAAGTAAGAATATCGTGCAGACATCTCGAAGGGTACATTCTCATGATATAGCCACCCCCCGGTTTACATGCTGGAGTCCCCGAGAGTTTCAGGTTCTGAGTCCCTGAGGGTTCAACACCCTATACAATTTTTGGGACTCTATAAGCCACCATACTCCGTGCGAGATGGATGAGAATCCAACGTATGGCAAGGATGAGACCAGCATGGTCGAGTCCAAGTCGGCGCTGCTTGGCGCTTCGCAGCCTGGCAAGCTGAGGCGCTGGCGTCTTTTGCTGCCGAGCGCCCTCGGTTTTGTTTTTTTAGGCGCTTTCCGTCATGATCCGCCTGCGCGGTCAGCCATGATGCGCAGGTGTTGGCTCTACACCCTCAATGTGGCTCCGGAGCAGCCTCTGCGCCGACCCCAGCTTTTTGAGCTTCTCACAAAAAAAGTACCGAACTAGTAAGAGAATAGCAGGCCTCCCCGGCATCAAGGGCCTTTGTGTTCCCGAAGCCAAGGTCGTTCATGTCGAAACCTGGCAAAGGTGGCTGCGAAGAGACTCAGACAGAATGGGGCCGAAAGCTTTGGTTTGCTCTTTTTTTTGGTTTTCAGCCTCATGATTTCCTCATGGGACACCATAGGATATACAGGGCCTCGGCCAGCAGTAAGCGTCTGTGTCTATCAGTCTGAACTCTCGAAGAGACTCTTCAGCTGCAGGAGAAGGTGGAGGGGAATTTGCTCTTGGGCCACAGCGGATTCAGCTCGGAGGAGAAAGTCCAGGAGAAGTGCACCTTGTTTGGTTCCAGAGCACGGCTTCTTCTATGACTCAACACGAAAAGTGGACGAGATCAGGTTTTGGTATTTGATGTTTGAGCAATTGCGTTGTGTTTTAACGCTGCTACATGTGGAACGAACGAAGTTGATTGTTGTTGGCCGAGTGCAAAGGCCGCGAGCTCCGCTGCGGATATTACATCTGGAGCAATGACCCCGCTAGCTCACGGCACAGTCCCTTGGTCTGACCAGAGCACTTGTGTGCCTTTTTCACCTTCAAGTTGGACAAGTCGGTCAAACGGGCCTCTTTCAGTTCGCAAGCCAATTTCGTCAGGTGCTTGGTTTTGCATGACGAACTACTACAGCCAAGTGAGCAATGGGCATGAGCACCCAGACTGGAAAGTCGGTTTCCCCTACGGAAGCTACACGCATCTTGTCTGGATTTAGGACTGTGGCGCGTGTTAGTTGTGACACGCTGTGACGAGGGTTCGGCGCAAAAGCTGCAGTCAACAATGATTGGGTGGGACTTGGGGTTGTGCTATGGCTGACTGCTTACGCATGGACCGTATAGAGTTCTGTCTCGGGACTTCTGTTCAAGTAGAGGGTGGAAATGGGGAGCAACAAAGGGTGGGAGAGGCGCGCCATGGCATGGATGGTCGAAAGTGCATCGATCGAGGCGTCTTTAGGGGTGCAGGGTTTAGGGGTTAGGGGTTGATCGATCCTGAAGCATTCTTCCGTCCAAGGTATGGGCAGGCTGGCGCTGAAGAATGTCCGTAGCTGGGACTTGCACATGGTCACGTTCACGTGTGCCAATCTCTCATGGGCGGCCTTCCACACGAAGTGTCACTGAGTCGGTTTTCTGCATGTTGCCGAGGGCTGCAGCAAGCCCATTGTCGCTGTCTGAATGCAAGGCTGCCGATGGTTGTCGATGGTTGCTGCGTTGTGAGAGGCTTCAGAGGGCTTGAGGGCCAACGTTGCGTTGAGGCTCTGGGCTTTGTTTTGGCACATCTGAGCCGATTCTTCCGTCCTCCAACAAAACAGTGGAGATTGACGGGAAGTGTAGCCTTTCTGCAGTGGCTGCAGTGGCATGACGACTGTCATCGCTACTTCACTCGTATGCGTGCACAAGTTTGAATTTCCCACGCTGACACACTCCGCCCTTTTTCCCTTGCTCTGCATAGGTTTTCGCACTGACTGACCGCGCGAAGAATGGTCAAGGTGGCGGTGCATGACCAGGGTGTGCGAGGGTGTAAGCTGGAGACTGCATAGTATTAGTGTACTCTAGCAGGGTATGTATATGGAATGCTGCATTTCCGGTACATTTAGGGCGTAATGCATTTGAGCCGACGCCTTGAAGTCTTTGGACTTCCTGTACACGGCATCGTTCAAGAGAAGTCGGTTATGTGCTCTTCCGATGCGCTTGCCTAAGATCTGATGCGGAGCCTCGAAGCTGAGGCAAGCGCTGTTCGAGCGGCTCAGAGGGGACGTCCTCCTCGTTCACCGATGCCTGTACCGGCAAATCACGAGACACAGAACTCTGCTGCTTGGCAAACAATTCCCCAGAAATCCCCTAAAGCCCCAAAGGCCTCAAGCTGTGGTGGGGCTTTTCGTGCGCATCGCTGCGGTCCGTGCTGCTCTCCGACCGCTGCATATTTGAATTTTTCCCTTGACACCATCTTACCATGGTTTCCAGATAAAAACACTACGTTCCGCCATGCGCGGTGGTTTTTAGATGGGGGGACTCCCATAAAAACTTCCAGCAGAAGTGACCTGAACAATTTGCTCGAGATTTTTGGATTGCATGCTAAAAAATTGAAATAGAAATCCTATGCATGTGAATAGCGTTCCAGCGTTCCTCTCAAATTTGATGGGGTTCATAGGATTCACTATGGCACAAACAGTCGCTGGCAGAACATCTGTTTCACGCCAACCTTCACTCGCTCTGACTTTCAATTTCCGCAAAAAAACCGCCGGTTATGGCCTACTCGCTTCTTCTTTGCATTGTTGAACCTCTTTCTTGAGCTTGTGGAAAGTTAGCCAGAGCATGACGCCCCAGCCTTCAGAGCAAATAAAGCACACTGCAACCGTCTCAATGCTCGACCCTGGCAGCAACGTCTTGGTTCAAAGCATTACACCAACGTGCCAAGACGCTCTCTGCAGGACATGTCATCTAACAGTGGCCCAGAAGCAGAGGATGTAGTTCTCTATGCCTTCGTGCGCAGGATGGAGGATCCCGTCAAGCTAATAGAGATCTTCCTTCCAGACCGCAGGCTCGCAAGTTCAGAAAGTGACTGCGATCGAGATTGCATCTGAATAGGAGTTTTTGGACCTGTCCACTGTCCAGGTTGGACGAGTGGAGAGGCCAACGTTGCAAGGGAAAGCTTTAGAAGGAAGCAAATGCAACTTTCATGACAGGAGCTGACCCGCTGGGCAAAATCGGTCTCTTAGCCGCTTGGCGGCTTGAAGGCCTCTGGTGGGACGTGAAGCTCCAAGTCAAGGCGTTCCATGACAATAACAAACCAGTAACTAGTGTGTGAAACATACCTGCCCATGACAGGAGGAAGCGGACTTGCGTCGACAGTCGTTCTTACAGCTGTTGGGCAAGGCTTTGATCAGGATATACATGTTTTTGCTTCGTCACGTGTGTTCTTCGTGTGAAGGTCCGCGAGTGGCCGCTCAAGCGGAAAATCCTCGTCAATCGTGGATGGCTCTGTCAGATGCTCGGTTGCGTTAGTCGAGCCCGCCATATCTCGCAATCTAGCGCGAAAGGCTTCAAGGACCCTGAGAGCAACAGCCTCTGGTGGTGGGATCCAGCCACTGACGCCGCCGCGTGGCAAAGCGCCCTGCAGTGAAACATTCCAGGCTTCAAGGCCAAACTATTCGGCTGCAGTATCTGCGTTCTACAGAAGCAGAAGCACATGCGACCACGCTTCTTCATTGGCGCGAAAGAACATGCGAGCTCAGGGTCGTCTACATGTACGAGGGCTCCTAATCCCAGGTTCTACTTGCAGTTAGCGTGACTCCAAACAAGTCAAGAGAGTTGATTGCCTCAGTTCTTGCGCAATACTGCCAGCATGTCTCTCAAAGACCCCAGAACACATTCGCCCAGCTCTGACCGAATTGAACATTGATTGCGTCGTCCGATTGTGTTCAAGTTCTTGATTTGTAGATCGTGACCTTCACTTGCTTCCACTGCTAGCAAAGATGCCGTTTATCATCTGGTTCGACACGTGCGAGGCCGGTTTAGCTGATTTGTAAGAAATCGGGTACGCCGATGTACGTCCGCCGCGCACCGGGCAGGTCTCGTACATGCTCGAAGAGGATTACATCTGGGCCGACGCGGATTGGCTGGACCCAGAGGCAGGGGCTCATCAGTTGTCTGTAGATTTGCCATGATGGGGCTGCGCGGGGCTCAACATTGGAGGTGTACAACTACAGCGTGACTCGTCAGGTGGGTGACGCAACATGTTCAGTCATAAGTCAGAATCCGGACATCGACCATGATGGTGATGACGCGCGAAGGAGCCCAACTTGCCGAACTTCCGTTTCGTGGGGCCCACCCGAGCGGAAGCCGAGGCCAGGCGCAGAAACAAGAAATGAGTGCCTGTCACACTCATTCATGGAAGACACTCGAGGCACGCTACCTGGAAGAGGAGATGCAAGCCCACTTCCAGGCCGGCATCGTTTAGCGTAAGGCAGAAGAAGCCGCGAAAAAAACACGGTGAGGCGCCGACTGCAGGCCAGACCCAGCGCACGAATCCGCGGGACGGCTGGGAGCCGGAGCACCAGCCTCAGGAAACAGAAGCGTGCGTTCATTTTGCACCACTTGCCAAGTCAGCGAGGCAGGAACTCGAGCCTCCCCCAGCCGCGGAAGAACCGCTAGCGGAGCCCGAGGCAGCACGACCTCCCCAAAAGAGTCAATCCTCAGCATAGAACATTCACGTCACGCATTTTGCACAGGCGAAGGCGACGGCGACGGGGAACTTCCTCAACCGACATTTGCAGGCATCCTAATGTGACAACCCACGAGTCGATCCGCAGGCGTCGGCGCACCGTGTGCTTTTCAACTAAGGCGACAGACTTCGCATCCTGGCGGGAGGACGCTCTGACCGACCTCAGCAGCTTTCACGTCTTGAACAAGTCTGTAAATCTGACGCAAGGAGCGGTGACGAAACGGCCAGCCAGCACTGCGTACGCAGCCTCGGAGCAGAAAAGAAAAGAGCAAGGTCCTCCACACCATAGGTCTTGGATTCTGTCGAAGCAGTGCCCAGCATTCATGCATCGCTCCAGCCGAAAGATGTCCTCCAACATTTCCTTTCACGGAACCGGATTCTATTTATTCCGCGAGAGCAACAGGTGAGGTATTCACCGTCCTGTAAAGAGAAACAATAAGCCCACTGTAGCCCCAACAGCTATGAAGATTCCAAGGGTGTCTGGTGCTGTGCCAAGGGCTCTGACGTGTTGCCATTTAAGAAGAAGTCGTCATGTAAATTTACATGACCACTTGGGATGTTTTAGTCAGAAGGGCTATATCAAATAAGGGAATCCAATGATTTGGATTCTTCATTCCAATTGATAGAAGATGAATGATGATGATCCTCACCATAAGAATCTAGAAGAAATCCTTGAAAGAAAATATATAAAGATATCTAGGAGATTTGAAATAATTTTTATTTGGCAGAAATGATATGGATGATGAGATTCTTCGCAAATCAAATCAAAATGATTTCCTGAAATGAAGAAATATCAAAGAAAAGAATCCAATGAATTTGATTCTTCATTCCATTTGATAGAAGATGATATTCAATATGATCTTCGTCAAATAGTCCTAGAAGGCATCTCTGAAATGAAAATTGATAAAGATTTCTATCTAGGAGAATTCAAATTAATTTTTATTTGGCAGAAATGATATGGATGATACGATTCTTCGCAAAAGAAATCAGAATGACTTCTGGATATGGAGAAATATCAAAGAAGAGCATCCAATGAATTTGATTCTTCATTCTATTTGATGGAAGATGAATGATGATGATCTTCACCATATGAATCTAGAATAAATTTCTGAAAGAAGATTTATAAAGATTTATACCTCGAAGATTTCTAATTATTTTTGATTTGGCAGAAATGGTATGGATGATGCGATTCTTCGCAAAATGAATCAGAATGGTTTCTAGAAATGAGGAAATATCAAAGAAGAGAATCCAATGAATTGGATTCTTCATTCCATTTGATAGAAGATGAACGATGATGATCCTCATCATATGAATCTAGAAGAAATCCTTGAAAGAAGATATATAAAGGTTCATATCTAGGAGATTTGAAATTATTTTGTATTTGGCAGAAATGATATGGATGATGAAAGAATTCTCAAATCAAATCAGAATGGTTTCTAGAAATGAAGAAATATCAAAGAAGAGAATCCAATGATTTGGATTCTTCATTCCATTTGATAGAAGATGAATGATGATGATCCTCTCCATAAGAATCTAGAAGAAATCCTTGAAAGAAGATATATAAGGATTTATATCTGGGAGATTTCTAATTATTTTTTATTTGGCACAAATGATATGGATGATGAGATTCTTCGCAAATCAAATCAAAATGATTTCCTGAAATGAAGAAATATCAAAGAAAAGAATCCAATGAATTTGATTCTTCATTCCATTTGATAGAAGATGATATTCAATATGATCTTCGTCAAATAGTCCTAGAAGGCATCTCTGAAATGAAAATTGAGAAAGATTTCTATCTAGGAGAATTCAAATTATATTTTATTTGGCAGAAATGATATGGATGATGTGATTCTTCGCAAAAGAAATCAGAATGACTTCTGGATATGGAGAAATATCAAAGAAGAGCATCCAATGAATTTGATTCTTCATTCTATTTGATGGAAGATGAATGATGATGATCTTCGCCATATGAATCTAGAATAAATTTCTGAAAGAAGATTTATAAAGATTTATGTCTAGAAGATTTCTAATTATTTTTGATTTGGCAGAAATGGTATGGATGATGGGATTCTTCGCAAAATAAATCAGAATGGTTTCTAGAAATGAAGAAATTTCAAAGAAGAGAATCCAATGAATTGGATTCTTCATTCCATTTGATAGAAGATGAATGATGATAATCCTCATCATATGAATCTAGAAGAAATCCTCGAAAGAAGATATATAAAGGTTTATATCTAGGAGATTTGAAATAGTTTTGTATTTGGCAGAAATGATATGGATGATGAAAGAATTCGCAAATCAAATTTGAATGGTTTCTGGAATCCTGGAAATGAAGAAATATCAAAGAAGAGAATCCAATGATTTGGATTCTTCATTCCATTTGATAGAAGATGAATGATGATGATCCTCGCCATAAGAATCTTGAAGAAACCCTGGAAAGATAATAAATAAAGATTTATATCTGGAAGATTTCTAATTATTTTTTATTTGACAGAAATGATATGGATAAGAAATATCAAAGAAAAGAATCCAATGAATTGGATTCTTCATTCCATGCGATAGAAGATGAATGATGATGATCTTCACCATATGAATCTAGAAGAAATCCCTGAAAGAAGATTTATACAGATATATATCTAGGAGAATTCCAAATATATTTCGTTTGCCAGAAATGATATGGATGATGAGATTCTTCGCAAAATAAATCAGAATGGTTTCTGGAAATGAAAAAATATCAAAGAATCCAATGAAATTTATTCTTCATTCCATTTGATAGAAAATGAATGATGATGATGCTTACCATAAGAATCCAGAAGAAATCCTTGAAAGAAAAAATAAATTTCTATATCTAGGATATTTCTAGTTTTTTAATTTGATAGAAATGATATGGATGTTGAGATTCTTCGCAAATCAAATCAGAATGATTTCTGGAAATAAAGAAATATGAAAGAAGAGAACCCAAATGAATTAAAATATTCATTCCATTTGGAAGAAGATGAATGATTGTTATCTTCCTCAATGGTCCTAGAAGAAATCTCTGAAATGAAAAATGATAAAGATTTCCAAGTATTTAGGGCCTCAAGGATTTAGGATCTCAAGGATTTAGGGTCTCAAGAATTTAGGGTCTCAAAGATTTAACGCCTCAAGGATTTAGGGTCTCAAGCATTTAGGGCCTCAAGGATAATATTTAGGGATTTTGTTTTTTTATCAAAAATAATTTATTTTCGAAAATATATTATTGATTTTGGAAATCATATTATCTTATCAATTATTCCATTGGTTTCTTTGCCAGAATTATCTCATTATTCATTTCTTTGTCAGAAGCCTTTCATTATTCATTTCTTTATCAGAATTCTATCATTATATATTTCTTTGTCGGAATTCTCTCATTATTCATTTCTTTATCAGAAATCTCTCATTATTCATTTCTTTGCCTGAAATCTTTCATTATTCATTTCTTTATCAGAATTCCCTCATTATATAGTTCTATGCCCCAATTCCACACCCAGCCTGGGTTCTTCTTTTCGCGGTACCCAGAGAGGGACTAGAATTCAAAGAACCTGGCCCTTCAAAATACGGGCTGGGGCGGAAGTTCTCGTGAAGGCTAGCATATCCTAGCGCTTGGCGTGCAAAGTGGGATTGCAGACGTATGAGCTGCGCTGCTGACCGGCCTTTACTGCCCAGGCAACTCGCGTCCAAAGGGCTGTTGGGCAGAGGATCGAGGCTGGCCCAAAGCAATACAGTAGGGATTCTCCGAAGTTGTGATGTTTCCAGTTGCCATGAGGATGAGGTGCTGTAACAGTGTACTAGTCCAAGATCAGCTTTGAAGCTCCAGGGGACGGCGGGCTCTGCGTGCTGTTTAATGACGGCCCGGGCACCGGGGCTGCTGGGGCCGTATCCATCTGCCAGAAGGCCTGGACCCTTGTTGTAGTTGCAATGTGCGGGACTCTATGTGCACGCTGTCAGTACTCCCTGCCAGGAAGATTTGGCTGTGCAGTTTCGAGTGGACAACCTCGCATCCTCACCTGGTCAGCTTCGCTTCAAGCGAGGAGGTGCACGGTAAGCAATCCAAAAAGTCTCAGTGGGTTTCCCCAATTGGAGCCACCGGTCTTCAAGGAATCCACAACCAAGAAAGATGCTGAGACAAACTACCGACTCAGTGACGACTCGGGGCCAAAAGAGGCAGCCAACTTGGCAGCCTCGATGTTCAGCCATTGGACTGGTGCCCGTCTGGCCTTTCCCCACAGGTGCTTGTATGCGGTTTGGCACCATCAAGATGCCGAAAATGTCCAGATGTATCGAAAGCAATACTTCTTGTAGGCAGGAGGCCGTCCTTACTCTTAAGACAAGTTGCTTCCTGGCGGAGCTCTCACTCCAAGGTGCCTGGGCCAACAAGGCCGTCTCTACCATGGTCATTCACAATGCCAGCAAGCCTCCTGGATTCCAGCAGCATGTTTTGGGTTGGCCTGTGAACATTGTGCGCTCTTTTTCTGCCCAACCCCACCGTGACCTCGCCATACCATGCTCCGGATGGACCAAGGTACCACGGCTTTGCCTTCACTCTCGGCCCCATGGAGGATGCGAGCCCTCCAGGCTTTGCGTGACCTGGTTGCGGTCAGCCGGAGTGGGAGAAGTGTAAGTCAGGTCCAATATGGGAAGAGGTAGCAGTACGTTCCCTCTTGCCGGCGGGCCATTCGAGTCCCTTCGAGAGCTTCTCGAGATCAGTAGCTTTGCTTGAGGCCCTGGATGCGAGGTGCACTTACATTCCTTCAACCTCGCTCGTTGACCTTACCTTGCATTTGAAGATCACAATCAGGCTCAAGAAGAGATGCCATCAGAGTCTAGAGTCTAGACATCCCTCATGAAGGATATGTGCTGTTCGCTCTGTTACTGGCCAGAATGCTACCCTTGCCTGCCGGACTAGCTCAGCATCTCGCAGGGTTGCAATGATGTCGATGTGGCCAACTTGTGGGGCAAGCCGAATGATGGCGCATTTTGCATCCTTTTTGAACGCTTCGTTTCTCGTGCAAGCCCCTGCTGAGGATGGGACTGAGCAGCCGGCCTGATGAGGAGAAGGCAAGCACTAGGGCAAACTGAGATGTGTTGTCACCATTTACGTAAGTCCTGGCCGCTTTGCAGGGCCGGTTGAATGTTGTGCAGTATGTTCTTTACTTTGAGAAACTCGGTCTCTTCGTAGGGGCTTGAAGTCAAAGCTTGAAAGAACTTGAACGACCTTGAACCTTCTTGCCTCATGTTGTCTCGAACCGAGCTCAACGGCCACAAGTTTTTGGTGCTGTGCAAGCTCTATCACTGTACTCACTGCGAGGAAGAGTGGTTCAAGACTTGGGACTTCAGCGTCGTGCAGGCCGAGTGAGCGTCTTTACATGCCTGAGTTGGCGCATGTGGGCTGCCTTTCGGATATCAGCGGCCACTGTTGGAGTGTCATGCAGCCACTCATTGATAGGGAGCCGGCAGATTCTTTACATTCCTGAACTCAGTGTGCTGAATGTGTTAAGACAAAGCTAAAGTAGAAGCATGTGCGAGATCACGCGGCTAGCGGCTATGGTTGGAAGCACAAGTCACGTTAGCATCATATCCCTCTTTCTTGCCACTCTGTCAAGCATCCCAAGCAGGCGCGGCAAGATCAACGGCTGTACATTCTGGAGACAAATCAGCTGGCCGGCAATGCCGGGCAGTTTGGTGTGTTGCGGAGCGGTGATACAGCGCCTTTTCGGCAGGGAGGCAGAAATTTCACGGTTCCTTTGCTTGTACCAGTAGCAATAATGTCCGGCGATTCTTCAAATTTTTCCACTTGACTCAGTGCTACTTAGGTGGCCTTGGCCGTGAACCCCGCGGGCAAGATGGAATACTGGGTGAACGGCGAACTGAAACATGTCAGCGACAAGAAGCCAAGGCCTGGGAGCCATTGGACTTGTGGACACAGTCAATGCGGGAATTGTGGAGAGCAGTAGCTGTCACTATTCCAGTGAGGTACCCGTTGTACGTGGTGGGCAACTTTATGGCCAGTGGTGCGCGGGTGAAAGACATCAAGTGGTGGGAAGGGAAGAAGGATGTGGTCGTGAACCTCGAGGAGAAGGTCAGCAGCCTGAATCGGCCCTTTCCTCTCCACAATAACTAGCGGGCCCCTTCACGTAGCGGCTTTTGCGCCCTGACGTCCTGCAGGTGCAGTTCTCCCTCCGCCTGCAGCCGGGCAAGCAGCTGCTTGGGCCCTTCGTCGGGCCCATTGCTGGGCTCTACCCCGAGGGCCGAGTCACGCAGGCCGATATTTTTCCCTTAAGAGTGGCAGAAGAGATTTGCAGGACATGTTTATCCAGAGCTCGCCTCTGGCGCTTGTGTTCCAGACTACTCTTCCTTGTTCCTCATTGTGTGGGTTGTGTATGGTTGTGTCAGGGATGGCGACGTCATAGGGCAGTCATGTCCATGCACAGAAACATGAGGACACGAATGCCTGACTTCGTTTTCGGCCCGTCCTCGTTCTAAGCTCGCCAAGTACACTTTCTGCAAACCAGGGTTGCACACGTGCGGAAAGTCGGGGGGAAGGTGTGGCTTCGATCCAGCGTCGCTTTCTGGTGTCTTGGGTCCTTGTACACGTCGTGCTAGGTTGGCTTGACGGATGTCTGCATGCCAAAGCCGGTTCTTCCCAGCCGCTGATCTCAAATGAGTCCGTCCACTCATGCGAGACAGCAACTTTTGCCCTGATTTACCAAGGAGACGGGAACCAGTCAGATGTCCTGCCGCGAGCAAAGGCGGCTCCTCGCCGGCTCTTTTGCGGTGATTCGAGGACCTGAGGAGCCCCCCGGGTCCCTGAAAAGCTGAAGGTTTAGCATGCAAGGCCTCCTCGCAGCCCTTAACGACGCGCAGAAGCTCAGCTCAACAAGGGTTTGCCCTTTGTTGCCAAGTGTTTCAGGTTGTGACGTCCACCTGCGGTGGCACAGGGGGCGGGGCTGCCTGCAAGTTTCCATTCGAGCCGCTTGTCTCTCGATAAGATCTGTGCAATCTCTCTTCTACACCATCTGATGAGATTTCGTGAGCGTCTGAGGTTCAATGGCAAAACCTATGAGAGCTGTACCAAAGAGGGCCACGATCGGCCATGGTGCTTTACCGTGGGTGGAGCTGATACGTGGCCTTGACGCAGCTTCTGGCGAGTCTGGTGTTTGGTTTATGGTGGCAGCAGCATACGTGCATTTCCACAGCAGGTGGGGCAACTGCGACTGCCCTGCATCGCTGGTTGCAGTGGGGTCTGCCACTTCTGCATCGGTCGCGGCGACAACGACCGCAAAGGGCCAAGGCTGGAGAGTGCCTGAGCGCCTGAGATTGTGCCATGAACGAGTATTCTTCAGGCGCGTGCAGAGGGACGAACAAAGGTGTTTTTTCTTTGGGGCAGGGGAGGGCCCATGAAACCTCGCTCGGGAATTCAAGACTTCGGCAGGCGGAAGGTCGTTCGAGTACGCGCTTGTGGCAGCCTCTACAAGGTCGGCTCATGGAAGGGCGAAAGCGTGAAAAGCGTAGGAGCTTGGCATTCGAGGTGATTAGGCCCAGCACGTCCTCAGCTGACACGCCAAGAAGTCAAAACGAAGTGAGGTTTGGATGCCTTGTAAGTGAAGCGTAGAACTGAAGTGCCAGCCTGGAAAGCAAAGCAGCATTGCCGTGGCGCCGCTTCATGCTGCTTCTAAGTGACTGAGCATCGAAGACTGAATCCATCGGCGACGCGATGCCCGCTTTTTTGGGTGTATTGACATTGCAGTAGCTCAAAGATTGATTGTCTTCGCATCTTTCCAGTTGGATCTCGCATCCCGCTGGAGGAACAGTTCTTTTTCAAGCCAATGCAAAGGAGGAAGGAAGACTGACTAAAGCACTGCGAACCCTGTGGCAGGAGTGGTGATGTGGGTTACAGCAGTTGCTGGGATATTGGCGAAATCCAGCAGCACGGCCGCACCAGTCGCATCAGGAAAATCACTGCCAGGTCCACTCGAGTAAGAATAGCTTTGCTTGGACTGCGCTGAGGTTCTTTTCTGATCGCATGTGCCGAAATCAGATCACCGCAGCTGGGCTTTGTCTGGTAGAGTCAGGTTCTCGTGTCAAGCGTGTGGGTCTGCTCATACTCCGCACCTTTGCAACGCAGCTCTTGCTCATGGACTTGGTGCTGGATGCAGCTTCGGTTCCTTCCTATTGTCTACGGGTGTATAAATGGTCCCTTAGTGGTGTCCCTTACCTTCTTTCAAGGTTTCTGAAGTATGGGCCCTTGGGTTTTCAACCATGTAACTACCCTAAGATATTGGCGGCTGCGAGTTTTCTCACATAGCTGCTGGTCACACTGACTCCCGCGTGAGTCCTAGCGAAGAGGTGCATGCAGAGCTGGCTTGTGCGCTTATGATTTTGCACGTCCCTAACGTCATTTGCAAACACGAGAAACGGGCTTCGAGGTTTTGGCTTCATTCATCTGGGGCGTTTTCTGTATGACCTTTGTGAGTTCCCACGTCACCAGTCCATCGAAAGCTGAGCCAGGTGAATTCGCGATCCATCTCAGTTAGCACGTACGAGGCCCCTGGCTCGTCTTGTGTGGTTTCGAAGGGCACTCCGGGGCGCAAAAGCAACAGCTGCAGCCCTGTTTAGGCCGGGTTTTGTGTGCTTTGTCTACGTGGCAAGGGGTTTCCAACAGGGGGAAGTTTGCGTTGTCCTTTCACGGACTTGTTGGGGCAAGACTGACTTAGGGTCTGGGGTCAGAGGAGATTTATAAGAGGCGTTTAAGGTGCATGGATGTCTAGGGCAACCGAGCCTCCACTCACCTCGGATGCGATACTGCGAGAAGGACGGCCTGGAGAGCTATGAGTACAAGGACCCTTCCACCCTTCCGAAGTGTTTTTTTTTGCCAAATTAGGGGTTATTAGAAGGGAATCCTTTTCGTAAATCCCGCCTGTCATCGCCGGTGTCGTGAGGTGTGTTCATGGCCGCCAGTGTGCTTATGAAATGAGCCCAACTGTTGTATGGAATTGCCAGAAAGTGGAGCCTACACAGGTCCTGAAGCTTAAAGTTTTGGTATTTCCGAATCACATACCCTGACAAGGAGATCTCCAAAGACATGATTTGTCGAGCGGGGGTGGATGGCCAGTGGTATCTGGGAGGCCGCAGCGCTGCCAGAGGAGGCAGCGCATGGGAACGCCCAATGGTGCCTCTCAAGCGTGCCTGCATGTGAGTCTGGGTGCGTGCATGAGCGAGTGCGCGATGTGCGCGCATGTGTGTCTTGGGCACCAGGGTATGATTGTCACAAGCAGAACAGTCTGCATTCTTGCTAACGTGTCAGTGTTTCCATGGTGCGGTTTGCCTGGCTCCGAGAAAGTTCGAGTGGAAATTGCCTGACCGCATGTCCCTAAGCCCTCCCGAGAACTCACTCCCGTACTCAAGCCTCTCCTCTCTTTCTCTCTGTCTTGCACCGTTTTTCTCGTCACCTCTGGTCTCGCGCTTTGGTGCCAAAAAAGCTGAAAGATGCCCAAGTTGCTGAGGCTTCAAATACCTTGTACCTTGCAGATGCGTGCCTGTATCAATGACACCTGTATTCTTGTCCAATCAGATGGTGATCAAACCACCCTTTACCTTTCTGATCTTTTCTGTATCAAAGAGAGTAGAGGTGGATTGTGTACCCTGAGCTTCATGATCTTCTCGGAAGAGCTTGGGGTTGCGGGTCGAATGCCCGAAGGTACCGCCAGCATGAAAAATCAGTGCTTTCGTCTCCCGGCAGGTTTGTACAACAGCCTGGATGCCTGCAAGGCGCGATCCAAGCTAGAGCCGTTGGGCTTGTGTAGAACACTTTGTTTGTGTGTGAATTCAATGAGCAAGCTCGCGTTGTCTTGCCCCACCCCGTCGTTTTCTTGTGGGTTTGAAGTCTGGACTCCAGCGCTATTTTGCACTTGTGGGGTTTGCACGCACGGGGCTGGAAGGGAGGACTGTCCACACAACTTGCCTCGGGGTGAAATCCTTGCAGTGGGCTTAGGAAGCAAGGATCCGTGCATTCGTTGCCAGGACCTCTGCACCGCCGAGAGGAGATCTCGAATCGCATTCATGCAAGACGATGTGTTGAAGACTGCATCCACATGATCTCCTCCAAAAGGGCTTGTTGACCTCCCAGCGTAAAGGTTGCGGTATGTCCACAAGAGGAGTTGAACCTGGAATGGGGCATGCTTTTGAAATCAATCCGGCGAGAGGAGCTGCACTTTTTTTGGGTATCGAGCAAAGGATGGCAGAAGCTCGGTCTGCATTTTGGATCCGTCAGCAGGCAATGGCCCTTGCCTTCAGCTCAAAAGGGAAGCATCGCACATGAGGCAAAGTAGCACACTTTATTAAGCGCAGGGATGCAGGAGCCGTGCATCGGGGAAGTTAGACCCACGTTAGAGCCGCGCTTCAGGGTTTTTTTCGAACCCGACGCAGTCTTTGCAGGTGCTTCCTTAGCTCATGCTGCGGTGTGCGGAGGATGCGAGTTCTTCACTGCCTTCGGTGATTGCGAGAACAAGATGGGAGGCATGATGGGGGGCAAGTCGCTACTCGATTCACACCAGTTCGTGCAAGTTACCCGGCTCGAGGTTCCTTCACGTGGTCTCAGAAGCAAAGCAAGACTTAGGCTCCCAAACAAGAAGGCACATCCTTAACTCAGCACCTTTCTCCCAAAAGAGGGGAAGATGCGCTGGAAGGGATCCCCGCACAAAGGAAGTTCTCAAATCCCAATGCCCCAGAAGCCGCAAGCTCACAGGGGCACCTGGCTTTGCCATGTACAAGCATCTTGGCTGAATGTGCTTGAAGGCCTCTTGAGACGTCCTTTCCGGTTTAAGCTGAGGAAGCTCAAGCCCCTTCAGACGGCCACGGCGCACGAGGTGAACTGTGCAAAGATGGCGCTGCTGCTGGGCCTTGAGATCGGTAGCGGGCTCCAGGGTGGGTGAGGCTTGAGGGTTGACTGTAGCCGTTTAACGCTTCAACAATGAAGGTTGGCCATGAGAAAGGGGCTCACAAAGGGAACCCATGGCAAGATGCTTTCCAGGTTGCCAGCCCGGGCCAGCCCCCCTGCTCTCGCAACAGTCTTGAGATGCACGAGCCCCAAACTCGAAGAGCAGTCCAGAGATGCACGAGGTTGCCAGTCAAGAAGGGTCCCATGGAAGCCAGGCCTGAATTCTTTTTCTGCCGTAGAAAGGCAGTGCAACTGATGGAATATGTATATATATATATATATATCTACATTTATATGTATATATATATATATATATATAATATCTCTCTCTCTCTCTTGATATATATACATATATATACATATGCATAAAATAGATAAATAACTAAATAAATAAATATGTATATATATATATATCTATATGTTTCCACTCGGAATTTGACCTAGCTTCTGTCAGTGTTCTTAGTCCCATGTCGAGAGGTGTCGCAGCGGAAATGACTTGGGCGATGGCTTCGAGCAACTTCGACGATTCTGGGGTAGGATGGCATGATGCGGCATGATCAAAGTTACTAAGTTGCTCCAACGCTCAGATCGCGTCTCATCGCCCGACTGCAATCCTTCGGACAGCCAAGGTACATCTTCAACACCGGTGCAGGTACATCTGCTGCGGCCTGCGGTGAGGCACGCAGAGGTTGAGGGAACCCGAGAAGGGACCCTTAGAATACCACCCTGGCTCATCAAAACACCCGCCCGTTTTTGGTCTTCCCCTGGGGTCTTAGGCGTGGGTCTTTGTTGCGGTGAGAGGGGGTCACTGACCCGCTAGGCACTGTTGTGCGCGACCTTGGCCAGTCCCTGCGGAGGCCTCCACTTGCGAGTGTTGCATGCGCCCGAAGAAGGATGAGGACGCTGCTAGGGGAGGTGGCTGTCGCGGTTTCGGTTCCTGCCTCCTTGTCCGATGTGCTGCCGATGGCCCCGAAAGGCCCCGAAATGCCCTGAGGATGGCCCTTGGCCAGTCGCGTCGAAGAGCAACACCCGCTGCGGCGTCCTCGACATGGCAGCCAAGGATGGGCCCTCGAAGAATCGGGGGTTTTGGGTTGTTTACGGTTGTTTGTCAGCGCTTTTTTCGGGTTGTTCGGAGGTCGGTGTGGCCGACAGCGGCGAGTGCCAGAGAAAGGCGATGGATGCGGGGCCACCTGTCTGTAATCAGCACTTGGGATTGGCGCGGGCCGTGATGCCGGGAACTGGATGCTGATATCTTTTATAGTTAGGGCTTGCATGACCCATGTGGAGACAGGATGTAGTGGGGTCTTGACCGGCAGGCATGCTTTTTTCTCCCTCCTCGATGCTGATGGTCGGAGGGAGTGTTTGACCTCAGCAACCTGCACTTCTTTGGTCGAGGACCTGTCTGACACTGTCCAGGATGTAGTGTGGCGTGTGACGAGTCACCAAAACTAGTTGCAGGAGGCTCATGGCTGGCGTGTATACGGTCGGCGCCCAGCCGGTCGAAAGGAGCTTTTCGGCCGGGGGAGCGCGGCTCTGGGCGTGGCGCAAGGCTTCAACATGAAGCAGTCTGCGTGTTGAGTGTTGAGGTTTTCAGGTCTTGACCATCAGTACTTGATAAGCATGTGCACGTCCTGCGACTTGTTTTGTCGACATAGGTGCATCGTTATGGACGGAAATTACCGAGCCGAGCATCGCTGTCTCCAAGCTGGCTGCGTCCTGAGTTCGGATCCTTTTATCACGTGCACACGGGGGTGCAGACTTCGTGCGCTTCACCCGAAGGTCGATGGCCTTGACGTGACGCCTCTGCGTGCTTGGGGCCGGCAAGCGGTGTGGGTGCGGGCCGAGGCAGGAGTGCGTGGTGATGCCTGGTGTGTCGGTGACGTCGGGGTAGGCTTGTTTCGCTGGAACATGGGGAACCATCAAGGGCAACAGAGAGGCATGTAATGACATGAAGATCTGAGATGTGGAGGGGCATCCGTGCTCCGCAGGTCCCAGGTGAAGTGGGCTGCATCAAGGTCTTTCAGACTGCGGCGGAGCCCCTTCCCCGGCTTCCAGGGGTGAAAGGAAGAAAGACACATCTTGCTTTTGATTCTTGTTTTGACTCGCTTCGTGATGCTCTGGCCATGCCCGCGAAGCCTTGGCTGTCGTGAAGGCATGTGACTGACCATGGATTGGTTGCTTCAAGGCTTTGGCATTCAAGGTTGCTGCAAAAGGTCTGCTTGTGAGCTGAGTTGACTTCCCTCTCATGCCCAGGCTCAGCGGCTGCCGTCCTTCTGCGCTGGTGGAGGTCAGAGCAGGGGGCTGCCTAGCTTGGCTCTGCCCAGCTGGCTAGTCAGAACTCATTTCGCAGCTGGCTGCGTAGCACTTCTCGCACTCCTCGCAGTTTTTGGACGCTGAAGATCGCTGAAGTGTTGAGAGCTCCGGGCCGCAGGTGAAGCGCCGGGCAGGACCAGGCCTTTGCCTCTTGCAAGATGCGGGGCAGAAATCACAAAAGCACGCCCATGACAGACCCCACCACCCCCTATGAGATCCTATGACAGCCCTCTTCCGAGCTCTTCTGCGTCTGAGCTTTCTCAGGCGCCGCTTGGGCAAGGATGGCCACTGCAGTCTGGCCTGGCACTTCGCCGAGCTGGGTGCGCGTCACCCTGGCGAACTCCCAGTGTGTGGGGACCAAGGGCAGGCCAGACTTGGGGGTTTTTTGGGGATGTCTGGGGCTGTTTGGGGATTGGATGATGCCTGGGGGAGGAGTTTAGAACGCTCATAGGTGGCTCCTGATAGCCGTTGTGCTTGATGGAGCGACAAGTCTTGTCAGGGAGCTGCCTCATGGCTTCGCTGCTCCTTCCAAAGTGTCCCCTGCAGAGCCTTGACTGCCATTCCTACACGCACTGCTCGATGGCGGGCCAACATCCGCACACACAATTGCTGCAGATTTTGCGGCTGCCATGTAGAGCCTACAACATTCTACGGCAATCGATGTTCTTTGTTGGCAGATGTTGTTTCGCTAGGCCTGCCTCTATATACAAGGCACCCCGTTCCATTGCGGACATCTTCCGTGGTGCCGCTGCGGGGGAGTGGGGCCCTGCGGCCGAAGGCAAGTCTTCAGCCTTGAGCTTTGCCAGCGACTCTTGATTCATAGGCCACTTAAGGTGCCAGCACTGGCAGTTTCGCAGTTTTCGCAGTTTCTCATCCGGTTTGAAGATAATCTTCGAGCAATGCTGCGCACATGGAGGCAAGCGATTCGTTGCAGTCACGACGTATCCGAAGAAGGACGACATCCAACGAGGGAGCGAGAAGAGGGAAAACAAGTCGAAGAACAGCTTTTGCCGAAGGATGGCGGGGAGGGCTTGCGCATCCTCTTCGGCAGCAGGCTCTGTCGGCGGAATTGAAATCTGAGATTCGCAGGTGTACGGTGCTGGTTGGGGTTGGATGTTCAGGTTCACAGTCACTTCCACTTGTAGTGGTCTCAAAAATGATGCGTCATCAGGTATCCGCAGGCGTCACCGGCAGTGAACCTTCCGGCATCCGACTGCCAATTCGGTGGAGCTTTTGGCAGCTCGGCTCGACTCTTTCACATAGGAGACGCTGAGGGGTGCACAGAGAGTGGAGGAGAGTCGTCAATTTGTGCCCAGGTACCGGGTCCATGCCCTTGCTGGAAGCCAGGAAAACGAGGCCCGAGGAGCTTTCGGGGCGCCGCTCTTTGCTTACGGCTCTGCTCTGAGCATTCTCAGGCCCGTGAGCTGGCCTGGGGCCACCTGGAAGATCTACGAGGGCCTGAGGCTCAGGGTTTGCGTTGCAGGGGGGCCTCCCATTGCTTGGCTGCCGTCCCCTCTTGCAGACTCTTGCAGCCTTGTACAGCCTTTTTGCGCCTTTTCCCTTTGAATGCCCGGCCGGCTGGAATGGGTGGGTGTTTTGTCCTTAAGCTGCACGTTCACCAAGGCCCCATGACGGTATCTGTCGATTTTGGACACAGCGAGGAGAACGTGAAGTGCGTTGACCCTGACGAGGCGGCCGCTTACGAGCCTTCATAGCTTTGAGGCGTTTTCCTGGGCTTTCGGGATCTGTGGCTGGCTGTCGCTTCTTGTGGTTGTTAATAGATGGTTAGCTCAGATCTGATTGGTGCGCGTGAGAGGCGCGTTTGCATGTATGGCTCGGCCACCAGCCAGCTTTCAATGCTTTAGTCATGCCGCACCTTTACAGGCTGCAGCGTGTGATGCTGAGGTGCGGACCTCAGGATTTCCCAGGATTGTCAGAAACGGTTGTAAGGCGGCCATTCTTTTCCGCAGGGCCATTCCCAGAAGAACCTATAATTTCTCCAACGTACTGAGCAAGTCAACAAGTCATTGTCCATTTGCAGTTGGTCAGTCAGCCAGCTGCGTCCCCAACGAGCCACCTAGCTGCGAACTAGGTGGCGTGTCGGTTAATGAATTGTTCGTGGCTCAAGGCTCAAGTGGCGCCAATACCGATTAGGGCGATTAGGTTATGAAGGTACCCATCGATGCTCCTTTATTTTACGGAGAGTGTCGGAGCCTACGGGACAAGCTAAGAATTTGTCCAGGCGGGAAACCACCGCGGAGATCATTTCCCCGACCGCTTCACGATCTTTGCCATGGCACGCCAGACTGCAGATAAAGAACTTGATGGATGTAGGAGTGCTTCTTGTACACATTTTCATAACATGTTAGGCGGTATTTGTAGTTTGGGCGGCGAGGCACCAGAACCATCATCAAAAGGAGAGAACACACGGCCCACTCTGGCAAACGCCCGGCTGACATGAAGCGAAGACCTTGAAGCCAGGATGGACAAATTTGCGCCAAGCGCGGGGACGAGCCCAATGCCCCATGGACTCCAGGACTCCGCCTCATCATCTCGTGGCCTGGCTGAGATGAAGCGATGGGCAACATTGAAAGTGCTAACACCCCCCCAAAAGCCGCAAAAGACCCGACCCTAAGCCCCAAAAGGCCCAAAAGGCCCAAAAGGCCCAAAAAAGGCCCAAAAGGCCCAAAAGCCCAAAGCCTCCCAAAGCCCCAAAAGTCCCTCGACCCAAAAGCCCTTAACCGACATCCTCGGTCTCCTGGATGCGCCTTTGGGTCGCCAGGTGCAAGTCCACATCGGAGGCTGCAATCTCCCCCGTAGCTGATGTCGGAGTACTTCTTGGGAGCCCAGGCACCCCTTCTTGCTTTTTGGGTTTTCCGTAGGTTTCCTCCTCCGAATGTTGGTTCAGAAGGGAAACCTCGTCATCCCTTATCCTGAAAGCACGCTTGCTTACGCTGCGGGACGGTTTGCCTTAGCTTCCTGCAATCATGCAGAGGGCTCACTCCTTCAAACAGAAGCCCTCAGCTTCCATCACCGTGCGTTGGGAGGAAAGTCGCTGAACTGCACCGCGTCTGACACTCCAGCAGCTACGACGCACTTAGGGTCAGTCCACACAACTCCCCTAAGAGTGCAGAGTTGACTAGAAGCCGCGTGCAACTGCATTGGTCCGTGGTAGGGATTTTGCCAGCAGCGGTTGGATTCCGTTTTCGGACCAGGGCCGCAACAAGATGCCTGCGAACTCCTGCCAATGCCCTCATGAGGCCTTCTGCCCAGCAGAGGCCGGCGATGATCGCTACGACACCCGACGTCAGAAAGAAGACACGGGCTTTTGGGCATTGTCAACCTTTTACTAATTCAGTTTTCTTACAGTTTTTTTCCAAATAATCTTTCGAGTTCTCAAACCGTCAAGCTGAGGATGCCTTCCCTGCGAAATACTTGACCTACTCTGCAGGCCTCGTTTGCCACGTTGAGCATCGCTTGTCTCGACCGCCTGTCCCACAAAGGCAGTGAGATCTGCGCCGTTGCCACGCAAAGTGCGGCGCCCGCCCAACTTGCAACCTCCTGCATGGCGCCGGGACTGGTGGCGGTGAAGGCTGGGGAGCTGGACCCTCTTCTGCCCCATGCCCTCAAACATCCAGTTCCGAAGCATCGCTTCTGATCTCTGACTCTGACCCTTTTCAGGATGTCCGAGCTGCTGTTGTGATTGGCCCCGGTGCAGATGACTTGAACCAGAACCTTGGAGTTTAAAAAGGCTGAGAAGGGGTGCCATCCACTGTTCAACCGACCTTTCGGGGCGAAGGGGGCGAAGCCTTGGGCCGTGATGACTCCTGGGGAACTCGTCATGCCTCGAAGCAACTTTGCGTGACTGAGGAAGTGCGTCATGCCACCGGCGCCCCTGACCTGTGATCGCGAGGCTGGGCGTGCACCTCATCGACGCAATCGAAGCACCGAACCAGGAAAAATGGAAGACATTGCCAGATCGTAAAACGGCCCCCTTCTTCTTCAGCGACGGCACAATCTATGGAAGATGTCCTAAAGTTCTAGCTCTTTGTGTGCAAACCTCGCAGGCAGCCACTCACCGAAGCGATCCCTTCAGCCATCGGTTTGACGTCGTACCCATGCCAGGCGCACTTATCCAGAGTCAGAAGCATTCCTCTGCAGAGGGTCTTTGCATCATGTGCCTCACGGTACGCCGAATTTGCAACTCCTTCAAAGCGTGCTACAGGCGGACAGCTCTGTGCCGTTCTTACGCATGCAGCACCCAC